AGATTTCTGCACAATATTATTATTAACCTTGCAATCAGTAACAACTGATCTTATTATGTATGCTGGTTTAGTCTCACAGTATGGCAACGAATCCCAGTCAGCTGCTCAATTGGATTACAGCCCCATCATTCCCCAATTAAGAAATGCTATTCTATGTCACAGTAGGAAAACTTACAGAAAAGTTTGTATATTTATAAAGGGGGATTACTGATATAGAAGGAACCAGAAGAGGGAGCTGTGAGCAAAAAATAAATCAGAACTAGAAGAACGTGAAACTTACGGCAATTCTGCGTGTATTTATTTATTTGTCTTTCTTTGCATTTTTCCACACATAAATGTTAACATGAGCTTCTAGACCCTGGGTTTATTTAGCAATAATGCAATATTATTTAGCAATAATAGCCATCAAGCATTTTGAAACATATGAAACGCCCTCTTACATATTAATAACAATATCTTTAGAGTATGGGATCTCTAATAAAACAGCTCCGGCCATACTCAAATAAGCCCAGAGACCATAAGGCAGTGATGGTGAACCTTTTAGAGACCGAGTGCCCAAACTGCAACCCAAAACCCACTTATTTATCACAAAGTGCCAGGGCAGCATCAGTATTGTGGTGCCCTCAGGGAGGGCGTAGGGGCGTGGCCCATTGGGTGGGCATGGCTGCAGTGGTCACAGCAGACTGGGTGAGAATGGCCGGGGCCAGGGCGATGGGGGCCAGTCCCTCGCCTCTCTGGGGCATCCCTGGGGGCCAACGCCACTTGCTCGCTCACTTCCTGCCCTGTCGCTTCCAAACACCATGTGCTCGCTACTCTGGCGAACTCTGCTGGGGCAACGGCACGCGTGCTCACAGAAAGGGCTCTGAGTGCCGCCTCTGGCACACGTGCCATAAGTTCGCCACCACTGCCATAAGGACTTCAGAAATATGTACACAAGCAGGCACATAGACATACAACATGCACACAAGCATTCAAGAAACCCAAAACAATTCAATGGAGATTGAACTCACAGGAGACACAAAATTCTGCCTGCCTCAGTTCAGTGGAGGGAGCGAGAAGGAATGAGCAGCAAATGGTGAAGAAGTGAACACCATATCTTTGATAAAGGCATGAGTATAACCCCGGGCAGGGATCCCCCTTGACCAGATTTACATGCCCGATCTAAAGATAAATGTTGGCGGTTCATAGATATTACAGAACTGTATGTGCGCACTAAGAGAGAAGGAAAGGGAGAAATTGCCATGCCTAACCTTTGGTCTACAAAGATTTCAGAAGCAACGTAAACCTCTCAGGATCTTTGAGCCTATAAGAAAGAGATTATAAAGCACAGCTCTCTGAGCTAGCCCTCATAAGCCACACCTTGCTTCAAAACCACTCCTTCCAAAAAGAAAATTAGCTAAGAGCACATGGATGGCGGGCCTCACTCTTCCCCCTAAATTCCTCCACAGAAAACTAGCTTTGCATGGAAGGGCCGTTATCAACACATTGCTTTCCTAACAAGGGTATATAATATTGGATCTGGAAATGTTTTCATCCAGTCACAGATTATATAACTAAAGGGAAGCATTAAGGGAAAAGAAACATCAAGCTCTCTTTGAACCCACAGCAGTTTTACAGTGAATTTCTTAGGGTTTATATCAGGGGTCCTCAACCTTGGCGACTTTAAGACTTGTGGACTTCAACTCTTTGCTTTGCTGGCTGAGGAATTCTGGGAGTTGAAGTCCACAAGTCTTAAAGTCGCCAAGGTTGAGGACTCCTGGTTTACATGACTGCAGACTGAACAAGTTAAAGGCTTTTCCTTTTTTTTCTTATTTTCTTTTCATCTACTTGATTAATATTACCAAGTACCATTTCATCCTTTCTATCTTTGTCTGTCTCTCTTCCTTCAACAGGACAGACAAAAAGCAAAGGCAGTATAATTATCCTAATATCACGGATTTGCTAAATTGTAACCGAAGCAACAAAGGCTGGTAACCTGTGTTGGGATTCACATGCTGTTGAACAGTATTTGGGCATGTTGTGCGTAAATGGTGGGAGGCCCATCTGGAACTAAGAAGGACACATTGAAATTAACTAGATGTTTTGGAAGCTTTGGTTAAAAAGATGAAATAAGTTTACTCTTCCTGTTCCTATAACACTTGCAATAAAATAAGGTGATGGCAAGCTGTCTCACATGGTTACACTTGGCTTCCTTGAAAGATGTTTATTAAACCAGCCTTGTAACAAGGCAGATGGAAAAATATAAAGCCAGCTCCAAACATTTTTTCTGATCCCTCCAGAGTGCAGATAATCCTCACTTAATAACCACAGGTGGCACCAGCAAATCCATTGTTAGCATTACATGACTGTGATGGGCTTACAACAGGAGTCTTCAAACTTGGCCCTTTTATGACTTGTGGACTTCAACTCCCAGAATTCCTCAGCCAGGCATGCTGGTTGAAGAATTCTGGGAATTGAAGTCCATGAGTCATAAAAGGGCCAAGTTTGAAGACCCCTGGCTTACAACCTCATATCCACCATTGTTGTTAAGCAAGTCACCTGCAGTTGTTAATATCAGTTATACTGGGGAGATAATCTTGGTCCCTCCCTTTGCACATTAACCAGTTGGGCAAACTAGCCAGTCTTCTACTTATTGCTCTATCGGGACCCCAAAATCCAGGAGGACCTCAAATTGTGGACCTGCTCCTGCAGTGGGAGGGTGATTCTATTCAAAAACCAAGTTGGAATTAGATTCAAGTCAGATTAAGCAGATTGGCAACAAACAGCAATTTTGTCTTGTAAGGATTTAATCTGAGCTTGTTTTAACCCAGGCATGTTAAACATGCGGCCCGCGGATGGGATGTGGCCCATGCAGGCCATGCCTACTCCGGTCCCACAAAGGCAAAGGCAAAGAAAATCCCAATACGTCATGATACGGCGCACGATGCAATCGGGCTTTACACCCTTGTTTTTACCCATCCTGGTCTTTACAGACTTGAGGTAGCAAGCCAGGACTTTTCTGGCATTCCACTCCAGCCCAAAGTAGCACAGTAGACTTGAGTATCATTAGTGAATTGATACAGCTAACCTTTATTAAGCGCATCATATATCAGTGGTTCTCAACCTTTTTAATGCTGTGACCCCAACCGGTCGTAAGTCGAGGACTACCCAACCGGTCGTAAGTCGAGGACTTTCCCTGCCCAGGAGCGCCGCGCATGCGTGGTGCCGCCCCCTGCGCTGGCCGAGGCGTAGCTGGCAAGGGGCAGCGATGGCGCAGGGCGACCACCAGCTGGGCCACCAGCTGGCCCAGCTCAAGGGAGGTAAGGCATCCGCCGGGCCCCACGCGTGCCAGCAACCCTCCCTGTGCCCGCTGGCCTCCCACATTCCACCCCTGGCCCTCTTTTACTTACATTTTTAGTAGTTGGTCAGCAGGGAGGGGTGGAAGCTTCCAGACAGTTCATCTTCGCTGCAAATAACTTGCAGCACTGTTTGCAGACTGGGGCTTTTGGCGCGCTCAGCAGGGCAGAGACAGCCTGGACAAGAGAGTCTATTCTATTGGCTTTCGAAAGCCAATAGAATAAAAGGGAGTAGCACAGCTAAGGAAAAGGGGGGGGGAAACGGTGGACTGCATTGTTTGGCGACCCCCATGAAATGGTTGTTCGACCCCAAATGGGGTCGCGACCCACAGGTTGAGAACCGCTGATATAGATATTACATATCATAGAGCAGAGGTCCCCAACCTATGGGCTGCAACCCACTACAAGGTGGCCTCTTGGCCACCGGGCCGTGTGAGTGGCTGGCCAGTGCATGCGCGCATGTGCATGCGCTGAACCTCTGTCCTTGCGCCAGCGCTAGGAGAGCCTCTTGCTGGCGCGCTGGTGCTAAGAGAGCCTCTCACCAGTGCTAGGCAAGCCGCAAACCATGCACCAGCGCTAGCAGCCCCATTTGCGGAGCACGCATACTCACAGCCCCGTTTGAGCACACACGCACGCAGCCACATTTGTGCGTGTGCACATGTGCACATAAAGGTGCCTGTCCCTCCCTTTCCCACCAGGCCGCCAACCCAGAAAGATTGGCGAACCCTGTCATAGAGAGATAGAAGAAGATTTGTGAATCTGACACTGAAGGAACCATGGGTGTAACATTTCTTCCTTCACACACTCTAACTGCCCCCCCCCCAACTTGGTGGTAATATAGTGCTTCAAAGCCCAACTCTTTGCAGGTGTTCAGTAGGATACCCTGGTCTATGATTTCAAAGGCTACTGAAATTTCTAATAGGGCTAGGAGCAATCATCCATCCAGGTCCTGTCAAAAATCATCAAACAGTTTTCAAACAATCATTTGCCCAGAATGGTACAGGGTTTACTGCTTGAGCAAGGGGTTGGATTAGATGACCTCCAAGGTTCCTTCCAAATCTGTTATTCTGTTATCTTCTGCAGCAACTCAATAACTGAACTGGCTGAGATCTACAAGGGAAAAGAGATAACTTGAGAGCAGTCTTCCCCATTGTCATTGCTGTCTCCACATTCCAAATATCAGCAAAATATATGGCAGAGTTTTTTGCAAGACTGAAAATCCTGAATATATATATATTGCCTATACATGTTCATTTATATATAGGGGCATGGATAAAATAACAGTATGGTTACAAGTGCAGAATTTAGTGGACTTTGTGATCTGTCTTTAGGAGTGACTGTTCTAACTACTTAGGACTAGGCATTTTAGCTAGTGTTGGCCTACCTGTAACAATTCAAGCAGTTGGGATTGTTTCTTAAGCATTAATTTGCATGGGCAAAGGAGAATTTATACTTAATAGCTAGTAGAATGTAAGCCATTTTATTCCTCTTCATCCAATGACTTCTCTTCTCCAAGACAGAACAACTTTCTGCTGCTTGTTATAGCAAGGAATGAGCACACAAAGATTGGAGGCTAAAATTAACCCCTGAGTTAAATACTTCAAATCCTGCTCAGAGCCATTTTAAGCAACGCCACAAATTAAGACGTCTTCCATAGCTAAGCCTAGGGCAACGTGCAAGCTGTCACAGCTTGGGAGGTTAAATCCCCAAGGCCGAAGCTTTCATCCTTTGAAGTGACCAGAAACAGTGTCAGAAAATTTCCACGTGTCCTAGCATCGAGAGGTATGCCGTGTCATGCTGCAATGGAAGTCAGAGGAGGCAGCACAACAGCCACTAATGGAGTGTTTCTGAACAAATCTTGATTAAGTGAAACAAGGGCAGCCCTAAAGGACACCTTTTAAGACAGACTAAGATACTTGATCTCTCCCCAAAAAGCTGAAGGTATTTTCATCAGATATCACCTTCAGTTAATGAGACGAGTTTGGAGTTCTGGCAATCTTTGATCCCACTAGTTCTCCAATCCTCACTTTGAATTACCCAACAATGGAGCAGCCATATCATCTTCAGGTATATATTTTTATTTCCATATAAACAAGGCCATTAAGAGGGTTCTTATTTAATACATAACATAGCAAGTAATTTAGAAAATAATGTCTGTTTTTTATGTTGTATTTTCTACCCAGGATAGAGTATGTTTCTGTGATGTTTTGATAATACCACATTTTATAAATTGTCTATTTGCTGGTTGGGGGGGTTACTTTGTATTAATGTTTTTATGATGATATAAGCTTTTTTATGTTATTAGTGGAGGGAACTTCACTTGTTAACTTGTTAACAGATAAATATATTCCCCTCCCTGTAATCGTGATTAGAATGTGATTTGAGACTACATACTCTTTTTGAGATGCAAGAATAGGAACAACCAGTAGATGGAAGCAGAGAGTTTTCTGTACCTCTATGCTGCCATCTAGAGGTCATTTGGATTTTTGCAATCTTGATCTGATACCTCTAGTGCCGTGGTGGCGAACCTATAGCACGCGTGCCACAGGTGGCATGCAGACCCCTCTCTGTGGGCACATGTGCCGCCACCCCAGTCCTAGGCCTTCAGCTGGGTTTTATCAAACCTTTTCACTTTAGGCCTCCGTCGCCGTGTGCAAAAAAAAAGGATTCAATCAATCAATTTCAACTTCACACAGGAAAAAAAAGATCTCGCAGTTGGAATTGATTGATTGAACTTTTTAGTCCCACCCAGTCTGCTGTTACCATCGCAGCTACACCCACCCAGTGGGCCATGCTCATCCAATTGGCCACAACCACTCAATGGGCCACGATCTGGCACCCGATGATACATAAGTGGGTTTTTGGGTTGCAGTTTGGTCACTCTGTCTCTAAAAGGTTCGCCATCACTGCTCTAGTGTATTGTATTGTTCTCACAACAGAAAGGAAATGGATTTAACTATAAAAGGAAGGAGCTGCTTAGCAGGCTATTATGTTACAACTGCACAATAACATAAGGCTGTAAATGTATGTGTGTGTGCATGTACATATGTGTATGTGTGCAGTTTATAGTGTTTGCCTGGTTCATATGATTTTTAAGGGTTTTCTGCTATTTTTGGATTTAAAACCGGATGCGTTCTAACTCGCATTTTGCAGTTCATTAAAAGTTGTTGAATATGTATGGTTTATTCTGCAACTATTTTATGGTGACTTAGAAAAATCCATATCGGGACAGCCAGGACTTTCTTATTAAACAGAACTTCAAAGCAGGAAGTTGCAACCGAGATTTACACTAGGCATTGTCAGGGGCCTAACATTTGCGACAGAGAAATAATAAAGAGAAGTGCATACCAGGACTGCAGGAAAAGAATTGATATTTCAAAATTAGATTTAATGGAATAATTGTTTTCAAGCTCATTCATAAACTATTTAACCAGATCCATGTGGCTCTGGTTCTTGAAAATAGTTTTATGATGAAAAAACTATTTCTGGGAATCTGCCAAATAGGACTTTGGCTTATGAATTTTGATAGTAAATATTATGGAATGATACTAACCCAGGCCCATCCTGTTTGGGATATAAAAATCCATGTGATCATGTGATGACAAGAAATTATTAAACTCTCAAGAGCCTCTAGGTCTTTATTACCATCTTTAGTGTTATGGGGAGGGGGGTGTCTTGCTGTCCAGACATGGGTCTAACTCAGGGGTAGGCAATCTTGGCTCTTTTATGACTGGTGGACTTCAACTCCCAGAATTCCTCAGCTACCAGTCATGAAAGAGCCAAGGTTGCATACCCCTGGTCTAACTAAACTGTTGTGGAAAGATTGGAAAAAAACTCAATGGGCAGGTCTGTTGTGTAGCTGATATGCTAAATGCAACCCTATATATATGCCCACTGAGAAGTAAAATGAATTCAATAACTGCCATATAACTGGTTTTCTATGTAGCAAATATAACTCTTCTTATGAGCATTTACCTGATAAAAAACAGTGAACACTATTAGTCTTTATCCTTATTGTAACAAATTAAGAGGGATAGAATAGAGCAGGGCTTTTCAACCAGTGATATGGGTACCACCTGTGGCACATTGGCACCTGGCAGGTGGTACGCAACCATCCTAGAAAAGTGGTAGCGGGGGAGGGGAATGAGCTGAACCAATGGCAGCACCGCACAAGCCTGAGCAAGAGATGGCTGGAGCTGCAGAGCTTCACGTTCAGCTTGGGACAGGTTTGGGACAAGGGAAAACCTAGAAATATCAGGGCCAATATATTTTATAGTTAAATTCATGTTGAAATTGATGGAAAACAAACTGCACAGTTTTACATCAAGATCCTAAAGCAATTCAGTCAAGGATCATTGACACAAACTGGAATAAAAAATTATAGCGTACTTACTGCCTGTAGTCAGTGTTTGGAATTGTGTCAGTGTTAAGCTATTTAAAGGAGACTCACTGTACACAGTGATCTTGAAGTATGAAATGGTTTTTAAAATATTGGGGTACAATATGAATATTTTCCTAAATCCCTGATGTGTCACTAAGTATATATATGAAAGTATTGGCGGAGTTGGGGGGGGGGAGAAAGACTTGTTCTATCCTTTTCAGCCCTAGAATTCAGTGGGTTGTTTCTGTTACATATCTACTATGAGGTGGTGGTTCGTGGAGACATAGGTTGAAAACAACACAAACTCAAATCTAGGCCGCTTCGGAAGACAAAGAACATTTCCCTGTAAGACCTTTGGACTAGTTCAGAATAAGCCCTGGACATGTCTGATCTCTTCAGTCTTTGGACTGATGTGCACTTTCTGCCTGCCCAACCTCTCAAGGACACACCACCTATGGTGGTGCAGAGTAAGAACAGATGATGTCATCCTTAGTCTGCCCTTAACAGGGGAGGGCAACCTCCCCATTCGATATTACACAAGGGCTCTGATCTTACACAACCACTGTTCCGAGTGGTTGGTATGTATTCTGGGAGAGGTCCTAATTTCACTCTGGACACCATTTTGTTCTAGGCTTTGAGACAGTCTGACGTAGACAGTTCTTTTCTTCCTAGTTCAGTAGCAGAGTGATGAAATGCCTTTTTTTTATAAAAAGAAAAAAAACAGGTTCAATGAAGGAATGATGAAGTGTGGACTATTTTTTTTTCTTTACTTCTTTCTTAGTAAAATTTGGCAAGCGTCTTGTTATGAACTATAAAATCATGGTCTCTCCCTCCCTCTCCCTGCTTTCACTAGCACTCAGAAGAGATGCCCCAGAAGGGAAAACAATAGGTGCCTACTTTCCCAGGTTGGATGGGAAGGAGGAGAGGAGAGGAGAGAAGAAGAGAGGGAGAGAAGGGAAGAGGGAGAGGGAGAGGGAGGAGAGGAGAGGAGAGAAGAGGGAGGGAGAAGAGAGGAGGGGAGAGGGAGAGGAGAGGAGAGGAGAGGAGAAGAGAGGAGAGGAGAGGAGAGGGAGAGGAGAGGAGAGGGAAGGAGGGGAGAGGGAGAGGGAGGAGAGGAGAGGAGAGGGAGGGAGAGGGAGAGGAGAGGGAGAGGGAGAGGAGAGGATTAGGGCTGAGTTAATTGTTGTCCAGGCAGAACAGTTGATCATCACTGTAGCTAAAACAGAAAAAAACATTTCAAGTCTAAACAAGAATTTACAGCTATTTATGTGCAGGGAGACAAAGATTGTTTTGCAGAAAAATTCATAGGCTGTTTTGTGGAATTTTGGCTGACTGCAAGCCATAACTAGAGACCCCTTTTTGTTTACCATCATTTTTTTTTCTTAAAGCGCTGAAAGTTTTTCTTTCTTTTTCACACTCCTATTAGCCAAATGCAAACTCTGGTCTTAGAGGAAAAAGTATTTTCCCTTGCACTCCCTGCTGAATCCCCTAAGCTAGCCCTGTTAACTTTCCTGTTCCCTTGCTCATTTCTATCCAAGAGTTGGATGCACGCTCATTACTATTCCATACTCATTGCAACTACATCCTGAAACATACTCTGTACAGGTAGTTTTCACTTAGTGACTGTCTCAGGCAACAATTCTTTGCGATTAGCTGATGAAAAAATAACTTTGCAACCAGTCCTCACGTTTGGAAAGGGAGAGGGAGAGAGAGAGGAGAGGAGATGCCCCAGAAGGGAAAACAATAGGTGCCTACTTTCCCAGGTTGGATGGGAAGGAGGAGAGGAGAGGAGAGGAGAGGAAGAGGAGGGGAGAGGGAGAGGGAGAGAGAGAGAGAGGAGAGGAGAAGGAGGGAAAGAGGGAGAGGAGAGAAGAGGGGAGGGGAGAGGAGAGGGGAGGAGAGGGAGAGGAGAGGGAGAGGAGGGAAGGAAAGGAAAGCTGAAGTAAGATTATAAGCAGGGTCACAGTCTCACCTATTCTGACTTTGCTTAACAGCCAAGTTGCCGGTCTCAACTGTGGTTGCTAAATGAGGACTACAGCTAGTCCTCAACTTACAATCACAATTGGTATCAGAACTTCCACTGCTAAGCGAGGCCATTATTGAATCATGCCCGATTTTGCCTCCTTTTTGTTAGTTAAGTGGATCACCCTGGCTGTTAAGTGAATCACATGATTGCTAAGCAAATTTGCTGCCCCCCCCCATTGACCTTGCTTGTTGTCAGTCACCTGGGAAGGTGACAAATAGAGATCACGTGAGCCCAGGACACTTCAATGGTCATAAATACATGCTGGTTGCCAAGTGCCTGAATATTGATCACATGACCCTAGGAATGCTGTGACAATCGTAAGTGTGAGGTCAGGTTGTAAGTCACTTTTTTCCAGTGCTTTTGTAACTTCAAACGGTTGCTGAATGAATGGTTGTAAGTCAAGGACCTGTATTTTCATCTTAGCAACTGCCAAATAGAGATCTACAATAGTCTCCAGAGCAGAATATCTGTTTATTTTACTTTTGGAATATAATTTATTATAGAGAATATCAGGCAAATGACCAATACAATATACGGTACCATCTCTTCAGAACAATAAATATTAGTATTATTCTCTCCAAACCCACGAACATAGGTCTTCTCCTTTGCATTGCAGATCCTCGGTGTGTAATTGAGAAAGAAGGCAGAACAGAAATAGTCCTTTCCAAGGAAAAGAATATGGGCCACCAAAACCACATCAAAAGCTACTTTCTGTGAGCAGCCTGGATGAATAATGATGACAATGGAAGAGATTCAAACACACCACCCACCCTAAACAAATCCAGTTCAGAACTAGACTATGAGGATGAAGAAGATGAACGACAGGAGAAATATCCAGATACCTGCAGCCTCTTCTCTGATGACTCCGTCTTCCCAGACTATGAAGATGCTCTATCTGACAGTGAGGACCACCAAGAGGTCACATTGTACTGGTGCTGTGCCAAGAACAATGCAAAGCGATTGCAGGATAAACTTGACATGGGGGTGACCAGGGAAGAAGCCATGGAGTTGGACATCAACGGACAGGTAATTGATCTGACACAGCAGGTGTGAACTGGAGATGAAATGATCCTGTGATGGTGTAGTTCAACTAGGATATAGCTAGAACAAAGTTCAGCCTAGTAGCTCTTCCGTGGTCTAAGAAGCAATCCCTAGCTTTACTGATCTTAACAGGTGGTCATAGTTAGTTACTTAAAGCTGGAAGCTTTCTATTGCTCCAGAATCATTGGGCTATTTGTGGTTAGCACTCACTGCCATGAACATACTACTCCATTGCTCCAAGCCCTGGCTCTACAGGTTTCTGATTAGCTTCCAAATGCAAGTCAAAGTGTTAGTGATTATGTATAAAGTCAATATAGCTTGGCATGGAAGTATCTTCTGGCTTTTTCAACCACAATTGTTTATCCCAGGAGAAACTGCTGGGTAGTCCCCCTTTCCACAAGGTATTTACCAAAGAAGCACATGTGTTCTGTTTTTCTATGATAGCACTTAGACTTTGGGATAACTTCCCTCTTGAATTGGGACTAGCCCTAACAGAATAACAACAGAATAACAGAGTTGGAAGGGACCTTGGAGATCTTCTAGTCCACAGATCGGCAACCTGCAGCTCTGGAGCCGCATGTGATTCTTTGAGCCTTCCCTTGCGGCTCCCAGCCTCCTCTGCCATTTGCAGAGACAGAGACAGAGAGAGGCACTTGCGCTTCCCCCCCCCTCTCTCTCTCTCTGTGTAAAAAAAAAAGAGAGTGGACTCACAGTGTTCTCCAAGAGCTGAAAAGCTTTTTGGGCGGAGCTCCTCCCTTTGCTGCATCTCTGCAGGAAGCAGAAAGCAGGAAGAGCTAGCTAGCCCAGCTATGCTGACTCAGGAATTCTGGGAGTTGAAGTCCATGAGTCATAAAAGAGCCAGGGTTGCCTATCCTTGAGCTTGTTGGAGAACAGCTTGAAGCAGCTTGCCAGGTGAGCAGAAGATTGGAGAGAGGGAGGGGGGAGAAAGAGAGAGAGGGAGGGAGGAAGAGAGAGAGGAAAGAGAGAGAGAAAGAGAGTGGGGGAAGAGGACTGGCAGACCAAGGGCAGAGAGAGAGAGAGAGAGAGAGAGAGAGAGAGAGAGAAGAAAAAGAGAGAGAGAAAGAGAGAGGGAGAGGAAAGAGAGAAAGAAGGAGAAAGAGGGAGGGGGGGAGAGACACAGAGAGAGAGACTCTTTTGATATCTAAAATGAAGATAACATTGCATATACCCTTTTTTACCTTTATGTGTGTGTGTGTGTGTGTGTGTATGTATGTATGTATATGTATATATGTATGCATGTATGTATATGTATGTGTGTGTATGTATATATATATGTATGTATATGTATATGTATATATATGTAATGGTAAAAAAGGATATATGCAGTGTTATCTTCATTTTAGATATCAAAAGGGTTTTGCAGCTCCCAATGTTATGTTTTCGGTGGGAAACGGGTCCAAGTGGCTCTTTGAGTGTTTTGGGTTGTCTACCCCTGCTCTAGGGTTTAAGAGGCTCCTCCTAAGCAGCTTATGGTTTTTGCAAGCCAGCTAATTGTCTTATATGTACTGGCAGGTTCTAAGAGGGAAAATATAGTAGACTAGCTACAATATAAAAATTGTGCCTTATACATGAGAGAATATATGTCTAATCCTTGCTAATATCATCACCATGTACTGATTGCCACTTACTACTCATGGTTAACCAGAGAGTCCTATCTCCAGTGTCAATCTTATGATGGATTGGGATGAAGAGAGTCACCAGGGATGGTGATGGGAAAGCATCTTTTCTACAAGGCAGCCAGTCTCTGCATGATATTCAGATGGTCACTGAACAAGCTCAGAAGGATGACCTTATTGCAGTGGGGTTAGCCATGATGCAGCAACCATCAAGAAAGGATGGATAGGGAAAGATATTGTGTGCTCTGGAAGTTGGATCTTAACATTTTCCCTCTTGCTCTCCAGAATGGCCTCTTGGTAGCATGTTTCCGGGGTTTCAAAGATATTGTCATTCTTCTCAGTAAATGCTCCTACATAGATGTCAACCACCAGGATAACGATGGAAACACAGCACTTATGGTGGCAGCCCAAGCAGGTAGGAAAAGTTACTATTTTCATACACCAGCCGAGACACAAGGGACATCAAGGAACATAAAAGATTCAAACTGGGCAGGATGTTTGATCGGAATTTAAAAAACAGCAACTGAAGAACATGGTTCCAAATTATACAAAAATAAGGACTTTTCCCTTCCTGTCGTTCCCTTGCTCAAAATCATTATTTGTGCAGAACAATGTTTAATGAAAAAAAAAAAAAAACACCACTGTTGGAACTTTATGTCCTGCATCTCTCATAGGATGCATTTACTGGGGTGGGGGTGGGGTGGATGGCTTTTGAATGTGCACATGGAAATAAGTGGATTGGGTTGAGTTTCCAGTTTGTGTGATAACTGGCTCTGGTTGGGGCAATGTGTAATATTTTAAAGTGGTACGGGGGTCTTGGGATTTAACATAAAGCACAGTGAATCTATTTTTTACAACCACAAAGGATCTCAGATGTAGAGGTTTTGTCAGTCAGTTCATTTATACACACATTGATGACTTTTTGCCTATGGAAAGGAACTAAGTATAAACTGTTTGCAAACCAAAAGTGATGCAAACCAAAATGAAAAATCAAACAAAATTAAGAATATGCCCCTAGTAGAACTGTGAATTCTCCGTGATTGATGCTGCCTTTACACTGTAATGAGTATCTTTCTTTGAAGATTTCAGTGCATTCCTAACATTGTTTCCTTTCTTTCTCTGTTGCCACAAAGGATACGTAACTATTTTGAACTATCTTCTGAATTATTACCCAGGAGTAGACATTGAGATGCAGGATGACAGAGGCCTGACTGCACTTATGAAGGCTGCAATAAGAGGGAAGAACGACTGTATTGCAGCCTTGATCATGGCAGGTATATTATTAATTGCTGCTGACTTTCCAGATGTTGATTTTAATGTTCTTGGAATTAACATAATCCGGTATTGTGCAGAGAATCCATCAGTAGTGAGAGATATTAGGGGCATCTCTTTTTTCAAGGGGAGAAGGGGTACACCCCAAACTGGAATATGAATGAGAGATGCACTTTTCAAGGACAGTTTAGAAAACAAAAAATTGCTTCCAGACAATCTTCGATATCCCTAAAGAGAAACCTAGAAGAATCAAATTGCACTTGTTCCAGGATGCTAGAAATAAAAATAAGGAGTCTCACTGCTTTTAGGCCACATCAGAAAAGAGACTCTGCAGGGGCTTTCAGGGTAATGGCCCCATTTTATAGATGAGCAGTGCAGGACAGCAAAAACCATTATCTTTATTGCTCACCTGCATGAATGGGATAAAAAATAGTTCAAGAGTAGCCACGATAAAGAAATTGGGTGGAGAGCCATAATATACAGCAGTGATGGCGAACCTTTTAGAGACCGAGTGCCCAAAAACTGGTCCCGCCCCACTCCATCCCATGCCCCACCCTGCTCCGCCCCATCCTGCCTGTCCGCAGGGCCACTCACCACCTCCAGGGCCCGCCACAGATCGCCCAACAGCGCCATGGCGGCCACGCCCTCTGTGCATGATGGGGCGTGAGGGCAGAGTCTTGTCTACTCTGTCTGACTGCCATGTCCTTGGCTGCACTGCTCTGTGTGGGCCACGCTCGGGGGCGACTCTCCTCCAGGGGGGCTGCTGGTGAAGAGGAAGTCACGGGGGAGGCAAGGCTGGGGCAACGGCACGTGTGCCCACAAAGAGGGCTCCGAGTGCCGCCTCTTGCACCCATGCCATAGGTTCGCCACCACTGATATAGAGCCTTATCGTTCGTAACTCTTGGAACAACCTAATCCTCATAAAAAGATTTGCCAGAGCAGTATTGACAAGCCCCTTTCATGAATCCCTTTCCATTCACACACAGATATTCTAGACCAGAGTTTCTCAACCTCAGCAACTCTAAGATATGTGGGCTTCAACTCCCAAATATTCCTAGCCAGCATGCTCACTGGGGAATTCTGGGAGTTGCTCCACATATTTTAGAGTTGCTAAGGTTGAGAAACACTTTTTTTTAGATATTACAGGTTTGGTCATTCTCTTGATATTACTTCTTTTTGCAGGCCGAATCAATGTTTTTCTAGCCCTGTGCTATTCATCTGAAATTGGACAAAGCTAGACTCCTTCCTTCCTTCCTTCCTTCCTTCTCCTTCCTTCCTTTCTTTTTTTGCAGGGCTGAGGCTTGAAAGGAAAACTGTTAGCCCACTCTAAGCCTTTAATACTTTTGTAGCCAGTTTCACACACTGATAAGCAGCCTGCCTAGAACTCCTGCCTTAGCCCTGGGGTCAAGGAAGCCATTATTCTACACACAGGGACGTTGTACCATGAAAAGAACCAGGTTGCTTTCCCTCTATGACAGTTTTTCTCAACCTTGCCAACTCGAAGAGGCGTGGACTTCGACTCCCAGAGCCTTTTAAACAGAAATGGAAGGAAAGCAGTTGCTACTCATATTTTTTACATATGCAATTTTTTTACATATCTTTTATATTTTTGCACAGAATATATATTGAACGTATTGCAGGCATGGAGATCAATTTATGTTCTTCTGTGTGCAGGGGATTTTTTTTTATCATTCTGGAAATCATGGCTGTTCAGTGATTTCCTTTGCCTTTGCCCTTTTTTTAAAAAAATATTTTTCTGTTGATCGGCTGGAGGGAAAATGGATTGGCTCTGTAAATGTTCCTTATCTCTTCTCACATTTCAAGGCCAACAAAAGTGGGTTTCTGAGGGAAGGGAGGTGAAAGCTGAGTGAAAAAAAAACCCACATGTTGTTTGGAAAGGTAGTCAGCTCTGGGAAGGGAAAGAGCCTCTGGATGATGGGGAATGTCTGCTTCAGTTGTTATTTTGCATAAGCCGGCCAACAGCAATAGGATCACCACAAGTTCAATATCATGATCTCTTCCCCATCACTCAGTAAAGTAGTTTCTCCCCTCAGAGGGCCTATGGGAAACTAAGCCAAGTTAGATGTTGCTGTTCCTTTTGCTAGTTCCCCTTGCCTCTGTTCTGGCTAGCAGCTGGAGGACACAGTCCACATTTCCCATTAGGAGTAAGTCTGTCTTCCTTACACTTTCTCAGCTTCACCAGCCACCCAATCATAGGACTGCTGAGGTGGTGATGATTTTGATAAGGTACTCGATCTGTGCATTTAGCCATCTGTTAGAAACTGCAAGCAAAGGGGCAAGGGAAGTTTAAAAAGCTAAATTCATTCTCACTATCTGCATGAACCAGAAGGGCTTTAGACATTTTCAGAATGTGTTCACTTCAGCTGTCCAGAAATGACAGAAAAAAAATAAAGAAATGGAGGAAAGAGCGGTTAAGCCCAAGCCCAAGCCCAAGGAATGATGCAGCGTAGCAGGAAAGTTCCCCTGGTATGTGTGTGTATATGTGTGTCTCTGTCTGTCAGTCTATCTAATTTTTCATCTCACAGAGGGTCTTCCATTGCACAGCTCCTCAAAAACTCGTTACAATGGCAAGTCTGGCTATACGCACAGCCAATTCTCCTGCTACACATTCCATGTGTACACAGTGTTGCTATATTGTGGGAAATAAAAACAGCAACTAGTGTACAGGTAGGCCTAATTATTCCGGATTCAGTGTTCCCTTATTTGTGGACTCTACCAAGATTCTGGCACTTGCCCAAAGACACCAAGTGTTGAGAAATATCTTGGAACATTTTGGAAGGTCTTACTTAAATGAACAATTGATTGTTGGTTGTTGGTTGTTCTCATCTTGCTACTTAATCTGTGAAACATACATAATAGTACACAGTTCTCTTACTAAAAAAGTGTCTATTCTCAATTAAAAACCAATAAAGCAAAATGTTCATTCACACCTAAGTTCAAAAAGATTCCCCCACCCAAATAATCTACATTAATCAAACTCTTGACTTCCAGAATTCTGCCCCAATCCAGCTAATGATAAGAACCACCAGTTCTGTCTTCCATTTGATCTCACTCTACATATGTCATTTTTTAAAAAAAAATCCAAAAAACTTACATCTTCTTCCATCTACTTGCTGACAGGAACCACAAGAATCCTTAATCCTTTTTACCATTTTGTTTACATATTTATATTTAATGACTTACACAAGATGACCTAATGGAAAGCTTTGGAGGAAACTGGGCCTACTATTCAATTCTAAACATGGGGTTTTTTTTCATGAGTTCTTCTCCACCATAATCCTAGTGAAATCACATGCTCTCTCACACACTTTCACGTATAAACATACATGTTCACATATGTTCCTGTAGAAGCCGCTTTCACCTTCAGAAGGAAAGATGGGCAAAGAACTTTCCACTCAATGCACAACTCAGTTATACAACCCAGATGTGCAAAAACTATATGGAGAAAAAAGAATTTGCACAGGACGCAAAACAACTTTCAGGTTGTCACATGAATCTCAAAATGGGATAGTGAAAGCAACTCTAAAACAAGACCTCTGGGGCAGCAGCTGTATGGAAGTGTGGACTTGGGAATGAAATACCGCTGGGCTTCTCATCCTGTGTGCTTTCTCCTAGGAGCTGATATTGCCGCTGTGGACCCCGTGAAAGGAAAGACTGCACAGGAATGGGCAGCCATAACTGGATCCTTTGAAACTATCATGCGGATCAGAATCCTTTTGCAACGCCCCTGTGCCCAGCAATTCTCTAACAAGTACTTGCCAGAGTGGCCTCATCTGCCTGAACTGGTGGCCCAAGCGACGGCTACAAAATCAAGAGCCAAGCGTCTGTATGATCTCATTTGCTCCATGTTTACCATCCATTTCCCACGAGATGCTGAGATGGATGGGGTAATGGATCACATGGTGCGCATGACCACGTCCTTGGCCAGCCCATTTGTGACCACTGCTTGTCAAACTCTCTGTCCTGACAGCCCCCCAGAAGTAGGCAAGCAGAGACACTCAGTGCCAGAAATTCTCAATCGATATGTACCTGATCCTGATGCCAAGTCAGTAAATAGCAGATCGTGCAGCAATGGCCAGTTCAGGACCCAAACCCTGATACCCTATCAATCCCCTAGTCCCATTGTGAAGTTTCTATCCCTTCCTAAGCGATTCAACAGCACAACTCCAAAAATTAAGCTCACCAAGTCTTCTTCCCAGTCGGCTCCTGAGGAGAACCAACCACCCAAGATGAAAAACAAGAATGCCCTGCAGGTGCCTAAGTGGCGATATAAGCAGCTTAAAGAAGAGAAGAAAAGCGAGGAAGCAGCAGCGCTCAAGAAGAAGCCAGACAAGGCTAAGGGAAAAGACGAATAGTTGTAACGTTTGGGGAAGCCAAGAAGAAAACGATACTCCAAAGACAAAGTAAAACTCTGCCTCGGGGTGATTCAGAAAATGTCACCACCTTTATGGATACTTTCTCAATTCTTGGTCAGGCTAAGGAATTAATGCTAGAGAAAGTTACTTGCCAATATTGGTAGTAGACTCTAATCCCCAGGATAGAAAGTTTTGGTATGACAGAAAAAAAGAGTGTACATTTAATGTCTCCCTTGCATGGAATTTCCCAACTCCAATCCCATCCGTCCTCAAATGTACCTTAAGAATATGCCTAGCATTTTTTCCTCCCAATCTTTGGTGGAAAAGCTGTGGAAGAAAAGCAGATAGAGGAGAATTAGAACTTGAAAATGGGCGGGATTGGGAAGGAACACCCCCTTGCTCTCTTTTCAATTTATACTTTTTTCCTTCCCAAGAAAGTTACATTTAATATGCATATATGCTTATAATGCAGATTATTTTCCCAAGAGCATCGCCTTGCTAGTGATCCCAGCCCTTAGACAGGGAAAGGGAGAGATGCTGGGTTTTCCAGATAATATCCTAAATTAAGTCAGGCAGAATCCCCGAGCAACCATTGTGCAACTCCCTAGCAGCTCCAGAATGTATTACTGAAAAGAAGTAACAAAATAGCTAATTTTCAGCAGTGCATTTCTTTCTTTTTTCCTCTTTCCCTCTTTCATTGTTTCTTTTCTTCTCTTTCTTTTAAAGATGAGAAGTAGAGTCAAATGCTTTATTTTCTTTTTTTAACACACATACACATGCCATACAAAAAGTTCTGAATTGATTGATTATGTGCTGTTAGAAGTAAAGTCTTCATCCTGGTTCATCCAAGCCGGGAATAAATAAGCAAACATGGTGACTGCTTTGGGAAGAAGGTTACAGTTTATTGCAGAAAGATGGTTCTTCAGGAAAGTGCAGAGGAGAGAGAAGGGCTGAGCACATGGGGCAGTAGGCTTTTATACCCCCTCTAGCCTTGTTTGGAATAGTTTCCTGTTCCTGTGGCATGAACCTTGAGGCTGTTTCTGAGTGTTTGTCTAGGCCTTGATATCTGTGGTTTAATTCTATTATCATATCCTGCTTCCCAGGTGATGGGGCTGACTCCTAGAGTTTGGGTGGGGTATGCAGATCTTCTCTTTTGTCTTCTTGATTGCTCTGGCTCCAACTTTCTGATGGTTTTACATTTGCATTTGTATGGGCCTAGCTCTTGCTTGGGGCAGAGAGATAGATTTGGGGCCAGGTTTGGTTTTAAAAAGTTCTTTTGAGGAAAAATATATTTTTCTGCCCTTTTTAATATTTCTTCTCTGGGCTAACTTTCATCAGTGCCATCAGGTCAATGTAGTAGGTAGATTTTCTTCTATGACGATCAGCTCTTTCAGGTCTTCAAAAGCAAAAATCAACAGAACAATTTTGGATAGTTTTCACTTTTTTTAAAAAAAAAATGAGAATGGAAGTAGTTTACTCTAGTAGTTTACCCTCCTACTTCTCATTCTTTACTCTGCCATCTAAAATATGAAAAAGCAAGGGCTCCAGGGGCCTCTAGAACAGAGATCTTCAACTTTTTGGGCACCAGGGACCGGTTCCATGAAGAAAGGTTTTTCCACGGACCAGAGAGGGCGTGGTTTTGTGTGCTGCCTGCATCCCATGAATAGAGCTTTGCTTGTTTGTGTGGACCGGTTGTTGGCATGCTGTGGCCCAGTACCGGTCCATCGACAGAGAGTTGGGGACCCCTGCTCTAGAGCAGAGGTCTTCAAACGTGGCTGCTTTAAGACTTGTGGACTTCAATTCCCAGAATTCCTGACTGAGGAATTCTGGGAGTTGAAGTCCATAAGTCTTAAAGCGGCCAAGTTTGGAGACCCTTGTTCTAGAGTTATCACTCTCAGCTCTACAAAATGTCTGCCACAGTTAAATCTTACAATCCTCTCTCTGAAGTCAAAAGCTGAAGTCACATCTGTAGAGCAGCAGAGTGATTGGTCTTGGATGTGATATTACCAGGTTGAAGAAATTTATGAAGCTGGGAAGATATGAAGGTTATATTTATTTATTTTGAAAAATAAAAACCATAGGACTTGTCTTTAAATATTTCTTTTTTTCACTTTCTGAACTAAGTCCAATTTCCCTTTCGTTTCTCTACAGCATACATTCAGTTTTCATAGAGCAAATAAGTACGAATCATTTCTCGATGTTAACAAAAAAAAAATAGAAAATTAGAAGATCTTATATAGAATTGCTGGAAAAAACTATTTTTAAGACTGAGGGAAAAATGTAAAATAGAGGGCATTATTGTGACAAATATGAATTCAGTGTTATTTCAAAATAATTACATTGTGTTGATATCTAGACTGAAATTAAGGATATTAAACTAGGAGAAATTAAAATTTATCACAGGGAGAATTTCTATGATAAAAATCAAAGTTTTGCTAAGAATGAGGTTTTTATTTTGGACAATATCTATTTTGACAATAGATGTATCATTTAAACAATGGCAAAAGATATATCTAAATTTATATGGTGTGAGAGGATAGGTTGCCTACAAGATGGCCAGCATCTATTCTGCTGTTGCCTTGTTCCTTTAGGGCTTCTCTCTAGCCAGCAAAAGCAGCTGTTGGCTATAAAAGCTGAGCAGATAGGCAGCTGGTTATAAAGGAAGGAAAAGTGTGTTCATCTGTGGAAATAAAGTAGCCTAAAGCAGTCTAAAGCAGACAGAAAAAGATACTATTCTCCAGCAGGACTCATCAGTAGTAGTAGTTGGAGGAGCAATAGGAGGGGGTGTAGTAGAAGTGGGAAAGAATGCAGCAATTAATACTAGCCTTTGAATGCTTGTTGCTTAGGGATCTGGTTTGTTATATTGGCTCTCTTGTGTTTTGGAGCCTACTAACTTGGGTATGTGTAAAAGACCCTGTGACAAACAGAACAGGGAAAAAACCCCACAAGTTAAATATAAATTGTTATAAGATTCAAAAGAAAGAGAAGGATTGGGTTTACCAGATTTGAAATTGTATTTCCCTGCTTGTTTGATCTGGAAGAAAAAAATTGATGTTGCTGAGAGACTAGTCTTTTAAGTTAGATCATGATCTGAGGTTTGGATGGATGGATGGATATTTATCATATGATAAAATTAAAATTAATGTGGACTTTAAAAATTGTGTTATTAGATGTGTCATATTGAGAATATGGAATAGATACAAACCCAGGTTGTGCCTAAAAGTACCTTTATGGATCTCAGTACAAGAAGCGTAAGAGACCTGGCAGAGGAAGCTGAACGGTTGATGTACCACAGGACTTACTGGAAAATTAACAAGAGAAATTCAGTATCAAATGAAGAGAGCAATTAATAGCACCAGGATACTAATTATTGTATTTTTATTTCATTAAATATTAATGAACTAAGAATTTTGGTTATAGAGACAGAGCAGTGGGAAATTGCAGCTAAAAGGGTTGAAATTTACATTGCGTTATGATCTCAGATTTTTTTTCTAAAATGATATATTGTTGGTACATGATAGCAGAGAAATTATGTAAAATGTATAAAGGCGCTTCAGATATATGCTGGAAATGTGAACAGCACGAAGGGACATTTTATCATGCATGTAAAAAAATATTTTAAAATTGGATTCAAATAATACTTTTTTTACACAGAGGATTTCAAAGATCAATATTCAATAGAAGCCAGCATTTTCTTTTTAGGACTAATGAAAAAAGTGTTAGAAAAAAGCCATGGAAGATTATTTCAGTATATGATTACTGCAGTGAAATTACTATGTGCACAGAGAGATTCAGCATTACTTGCTATGGAGGAAGGGTTGGTGAAGTTGATAGATTTTTGCTGAAATTGGTAAATTGACCTCTTCGATTAGAGAAGAGAAATTGTCAACATTTATTGGTGTCTGCAAGCCTCTTATGGACTTTTTGCATAAAAATACAAAAAAATGAACTTGGGATCTATGTCTATGATGATTAGACAGGACAGAATAGTATGGTAATATGATGTAACTTTAGAGAGAGAAGTTAAAATATATTTTTTATTTATAACCGCTGTGATGAATATTGGAAACTGTTTATATCTTTTCTATTTTTCTTCAACTTTTTGCTTTTTCTTTTATTTCTTTTTTCCCTCCTATTAGTTTGTATTAGTTTTTATCTTCTGGTTTAAAAGTTTTAATAAAATTCCTATATATATATAGGAATCATTTCGTCTACTTACTGATGCATGATATGTGGTCATCTCCTCTACATGTCGTACAGCAGTGGTCCCCAACCTTTCTGGTTCTGTGGACTCGGCAGTGGCAGCAGTGGCAGTGGCAGGCGGGGAGAGGGGATGGCTTCACATGCACGTATACCACTTGCGCAAATGGAGCTTTGTGTGCTTGCGCACTCGCCCAGCACTTGTGCAGCCCAATTCTCAACGGGCTACTGCCCAGTATAGGCCCAGGGACCCAGGGGTTGAGAACCACTGTGGTATAATACATTTAAAGCAGGAGTATCCAACCTTTTAAGATCTGTGGACTTCAACTGGCTGGCTGGCGAATTCTGGGAGTTGAAGTTCAAAAATCTTAAAATTGCCAAGCTTGGACACTCCTGATTTAGAAGCAAACAGGAAGACCCCTGGGTTTTTTATGAAACTAGGTCTAGTAAACCACGTAATGAGGGTAAATAAATGAAGCACTAGGAACCAAACAGGCCATCCTCGGCATTTGCCCTCTGTGTGCACAACAGCTTCTCAGAAACCAAGCAGCCATCCATCAAGAGCTACAAATTCAGAACTTGAAAAGAATTCCCAAACTGCCCAAGCAAAACATTTACCGTATTTTTCCGTCTATAACAGCGTTTCTCAATGTTTGTGTGACGGCGACCCCGTCACACAAACGTACTGCGCATGCACGGCGGCCCCATGCGTGGCGTGCATGCACGGCGGCGGCCCCATGCGCGCCACGCATGCGTGGCGGCGGCCCCATGCGCGCCACGCATGCACGGCGGCGGCCCCATGCACGGCACGCATGCGCGGCGGCGGCCCCATGCGCAGCACGCATGCACGGCGGCGGCCCCATGCGCGGCACGCATGCGCGGTGGCGGCCCCATGCGCGGCACGCATGCACGACGGCGGCCCCTGAGGGGGGAAAATGGCGGATCGCCTTGTTTGGCGGCCCCCGTAAAATGGTTGATTGACCCCAAATGGGGTCGCGACCCATAGGTTGAGAACCGCTGGTCTATAAGACGCACCCTTGTATAAGACACTCTGGCATGCGAGTTTCTCCATGCCGATCAGCTGTTTGGCAGAGCACCAAACAGCTGAGCCAGCAAATCCGGAAGTTCAGCGGGACGATGATCTTGCCCCCTCCCCCCTCCCGTTAGTGGCAAGCCCACAGGGGCTTGACACCTGCACCAGGCAGCATGGCAATCCACACAGGCATGCCCTGGGCTGCGGAGGTTATCATTATTTTTCCGTGTATAAGATGTTGCACTTGTATAAGACCCACCTGAGTTTTGAACAGGGCGTTTGCAGGAAAAAATAGCGTCTTACACATGGAAAAATATGGTATTTATGTTTAGCTCATTTTAAAAATATATTAGTCATTCAATAGCAGCAGGGCTAAAAATGACGTGGCAGAAAAAAGTATTAAAAATAGAGGCTTCCTCCATAAAGGAAAGAGAAAATATACTTGTTATGTCCCGAGCCTTTGCAAACGGCTCGGGCGTTTGCAGGCAATCCCGGGCAGGTGCAAAGCTGCCCGGGACCAGACAGGCTGTCGCCAGCGCCGT